GTTCGATTCAGCACGACATACAGTTCTCAGAAAAACACTGCACAAAAGTGCCAGTGCTGCCAGCTAAAACACATACATCAACAAAAAAAAATATTGAGTAGCCCAAGATATAGCCACAGATTGCAGCACCACAGCACTAGTGAAAATTTAAATTTGCCGACTGGAATTCTTTTGGAATTTTGGAATTCTTTCTGACTTTTGGATAAACGATGCTCTACTGTATAATCATAGTCAAGCATATATTAGTCAATAGTCAAGCATATATTAGCCAAGCAATATATCAGTAAAAATATAAAAATTGCTTTAATTTGCTTTATGTATCTAGCAGATACAATGCGCCAAGTGACGTCACAAAAATTGATATGGTTGGATAAGAGTTAATTGGGGCAGCCACTTTTTTTGGGCAAATCTCAAAGAACAAAAACCAAACTAATAAACTAATACATAATTTAAATGCTTAATTGGGACAGCAGCAGAAAAGAAATTTAGCAATTTTTGATATATTTTAGGGATTTTTTCAAAAACATGTCAACACTACATACACTAATGTCATGTAGTCATAACAGTTGGCAGAGACAGAGCAATTTTGTCTTCTGCTTGGGCAGTTTGATTTTTCTGGAGGGAGTCAGCATAGCAGGGCATATCACACCAGGATCCTGTCTGAGGCAGACATGAATGCAAGCTATTGACCCTGCTTCAGATTGAACTGTGATTAGGCCGGACAATCCCCTTAAAAGCAAAGGGACAAGGATCCCCCAGATAATTTTTCAAGGTCTCTTGACTAAGTTGGAAGACAGCTCTTAGAAAATGTTGCAGTGTTGATTTTATTTAAAATTTAAAATCTTTGCCAAGATGCCAAGAAATGATTTTACACTTTCAAGTGAAATTGCTTTGCTAGAGAAAATTAAAAGCGCCATTGAATACAAGCAATCATAAACTTGTGATATAACTGGTGTACCAAAATCTACCATTAAGCATCTCCTACAACAAGAAAATCAACTGCATGATAAGTGGGCATTACAAAAAGAAATCCCAGGAACATCCAAAAGAAAGCATGATGGAAAGAATCCAGAAGTTGAAAAAGCATTAAATGGTTTTCTATAGTTAGTGGGCGAGGCATGAATATCAGCAGCCCAGTGTTGAAGGCAAAGTCAAAGGAGATCACTGTAAAGCTGAAACACAACAATTTTAAAGCAACTGATGGTTGGTTGTCTCGATGGAAAGTGAGACACAATATCAAATACAGAAAAGTGCATGGCAAAAAAAGCAGTGTGGATAATAATGTAAGCACTGAACAGCAGCAAAAAATTAAAATCCCTACTTTTTTAGAGAATTTTTGTTCAGATGATATTTACAACACTGATGAAACCAGCCTCTATTATCATGCTATGCCAGATGGTTCCTTGTGTTATAAGCTCATTGTACCGTCAGGGTATAGAAGGGCAATGGACGGTATTACTGTGTTATGCTGTGCAAATATGCCTGATACTGACAAACAAAAACTACTAATTGTAGGAAAAAGTGCCAAGTCTCCATGCTTTAAGAGGTTAAAAATAACACCTTCCTCTCAAATTTCACATAAAGTGGATGTTAATTCTATGATATGCTTCTTGTCTAGAGTTCTTAATGACTTGTGAGCACTAAGATTGGCCTTACTTTACCGCTAGACTTATTTATTACACCACCACAGGATCACAAATTAGACTTAGAAAAACACTGTTTTATTTTCAGAATGCATTTCAGACCTGGAGTCACTCAACGGCTTTTTTGCTACAAAATTAAAAGGAGGTTAACAATTTTAAAGTACTGTAATTGACACAAATGAAAAAAAGGCTGTAGACTTACATTTAATATGTCGATTCAATGTTTAGAACATTAAAAGATTAAACACACCATAAAACAAAAAAAAAAATACATAAAATAGGATAGTGCTGATACAATGAAACAATAATAAACTGTGCTACTGGTAAAACAGTAAAGTAGTAAAAATATGCATTGTTAAAACAAAATAATAAGCAGATTCACTGTAAAACAAATAATGGATGTTAATTAATGTTAGTTGAGATAATTTATAGCCAGTTTCTAAAATTTAATATGTTTATTTTTGTGTTTTTGAATCCAATTACAATAAAATAAACATAAAAAAAAAGCATTTTCAGCATTCCATGAGTATTTTACATTGTTAGAAATAAGACAGAATGAATAAATTAAACATATAAATCACGATAAAATTTTTTTGCCCGCGCAAAAAAATTTTATTGTGATTTTAATTAGCCTTTGATAAGGCTCAATTAAGGCTTAATTGNCTTCGTTAAAGTTATTTAAAGCTGGTTTCTGATGTCAAAAACAACCTTCGATAGTTTTTTAATTTTTTAAATTAATCGATTTTTTAATATAAATTTAATTAATTAGGGGGTCAGAAATCGCAATAAAATTTTTAATTTTTTAAAAATATTTAAAAATACAGTAATATCCCGAACTTACGCAATAGGTGGGACCGAGCGATAACCGCGCAAGTCGGGGTTCGTGTATTTTGCAATTTGTGTAAAATCCAAATCGGATGTATGTAAGCTAATAAATGTTCTCGTTAATCTTATTTTGTCTTTTAATTCGTTCACAATTAGAAGAAATCACCACATAGAGTCTCTCAAATCTCCGTAGATATAACAAACACAGAAATAAATAACACAAAATAAATTGTAGCTATGTGTCGATTCCGTGCGACACATCTGAACATGTAAGCTGAACAATAGTGTGTGTGGGGGGGGGAGTAATCAAGAGTTGCGTGGGGTTCAAACAAAAGACGAATCAACGAGATTTGAAAATCGCGTAACTCCGGGTTCACGTAAGTCGAGGTATTACTATATAGGCCTAGTTAGTAGTCACCCTACTTTAAACCCTTGTCCTCCCAAGACGTCTATGAGAATGCCCCGGGAAATCCGACTCCAGCTGTTCTCAAGGTCATCCAGCTGTGTAAACAATGACTCATCGGTGTTAAATTTCGCAGAAAGGCGAGACAGAGGAACTTAAACTTCCAAGCTTTTTCTTCAAAATAAATGCATTTCTTTCGTTTTTTTCAGTTTTAAGTATTTTTTACATTTAATTAAATTAATATAAAAAAATGTCAATGTCCTTAAGGGGGTAAACTGGCATGCCAGTTTTTAGCATACAGAAATATATGATTTTGTGGTCTCCCTGGATAGACCAACATGCTAAACAATGTGCAAAAATATGGTACTAGAACTGTTAAATTGTTTTTGAGTAATAATAAATTACCTTTTAAAAACAAAATTATCATCAGTTACTCATAATGCATCTTTATTTTATAATTATAACATCAGACCCAGACTAATATATATAAAAATATTTATTTATTTATTAGGAAAAAAAACTAGCACTAACTGAATAGTTTGCATTTATGCACTATGATGTCCTATAATCATGATTCAATAAGATATGTTTCTTTTTTCTCTTTTATTTAAAAGATGACCTATGAAATCCTTTAATCTTAACTTTTTACCATTAATAGTAGAAAAATGATTTTGTTGTCATAAAATATTATAAATTAGCATTAAAAAATTTCATTAATCATGACCATAAAATATCAAAATAATGAAAAAAGCAATTGTCATCAATACATTATTTTTAAGTTTATTTTATGTATGAATTTTGTTTATAACCATTTTATTTTCAGCCATTATCAAGATTAAGAATTTTTGTTGCAATATGCATAAAGAAAACTAATTAATGCAACCATATTTAAACATATTCATTTCAACAACTGCAATAATAACCTATAATCAGTGGTGATATTCAGCGGGTTCGCACAGGTTCGGCCAAACCCGTTGTTAACATTTTCAAAGTTTTCCGAACCTTGTTAAACACATGTAACATTTCTCAATGGTTTTGATTCTTTTAAAAAATATATTAAAATATACATATTATACTCTGTAACACTACTAAACTAGAACCTTCCGATGCACCATTTGAGCAAAAAAAAAAATTGTTAAAAAAAATTTTCTGTTAGCGAACCCTTTGTTAAATATTTTAAATATCACCACTGCCTATAATGCTTTCAATAAAAGATTAGTTATTCTCAAAAAAAATTCTATTTATTGAAGTAAAATTGAGTAAACACATTTTTCATTGTACAGAATAGTTTATAAAATAAAGAATCAGAAATAAGACTAAAAAATATAATTAAATTTTAAAATTTACACTAAAAATCTTAAATATAAATAAAAATATAATTTTTAATACTAAATTATAATGATATATTACACAATTCAACTGATAATTTTTAACAAACTCCTAATTCTTTATTACAAACATTGCTAACTCAAACTACATCATTTGAACATGTACAAATACCCAGAAAGCCATCATAAAACTATTATAATATCTTAAAATTAAGAAAAAATTATTTTGTGGTGTTCAAAATGAAAAGAATAAAACAAGTACTTACTTAAAAAATCAGAAAAAGAAATGAATTCTATCAATAATAAAATCTACATAATTAAAGCAAGCTTAAAAATAAAATGAAATAGTTGAAATTAATTATGAACTCAACATAATCTAGAGAAGAAAATCATTAAAAAACATAAAAAACATTTGAAAAAAAAGGTAATTAAATAATCAATAAATGAAATGGTCAATTTATACATTATTGTTTAATATTCATAATGCTTAATGTTCACCTTTCCTAAAATACAAATTAATCAATTTTCAATATGAACTGATCTATATTATTATTCAGTGGATTTTCAATGAAACTGATAAGTCATTGGTAATTTAGATGCCAAAAACATGTTTCAAGATTCAATAAAAAATAAATAAATAATAACAAATTTGTATTATACGTAAATCTAAATTATAATACTAGAAATAATACAAATATTTCATATTTTCTTTCTTTCTTAACTTAAATGAAATAAGAAAATTGAAAATTAGATTGAAAATATCAGTTTTTAATAAGATTTGTATAATAAAATTAATATTACCTCAATATCATTTTCAATCTGAAAACTTCTAATTGTTTGATGGTGCTTTCTTGATTTGGAAGTCTAGAAGCTAAGTATTTCAGTGATTTTATTATTCCAGATAAAGCATCATTTTTAGTTTCATTCTTTGCTTCTTTTTTCAATTCTTCATCAGTTAGACTATCCAAGTATGTCGGAACTAACTCCACAACTGGCATAAAATATTTTTCAATCATATGTACTGTTAGTAATTCATGACACTGTCCAAATGGCCTAATAGAATAAAGCAAATAAGTGCAACAGTTTTAATTATTATCCTCACATTTTAAAAATCAAAATTTGACATAAAATTAAGTTATAACTATTTGTCATCATCATCATCAAATTGTTAGATTTTATTAGCTATCAAAGTATATATTTATTAGAATTAATAGAACAACTAATTGAAATTAATTGTAAATATATATTTGGTATTAAAAGAAAATACAGTTGCCATCTCTAAATATTAAAATATTCAGAAAAAGATAAATTTAGTATTGCATTCAAACTATAATTCTCAAACACAGGATAGGAATACAGTGGGTGATCGGTAGAGGATTTGATCCCGGGATCTCGAAAATCGGGATCCCGACCACTTTTCAGTCCCAAAATTTTCGGGATTGACATCATTTTAAAAAAATTGCAAAATAGACTGCATGAAGCGAAACGTTCAGTGCCAGTGCTTTTAACAGAATTGCTTGCCTATCATTTTAATATAAAATACAAGAAGTTTCATTCCAAGTAAGCATCGCAAGCCCGCTTGGTTAATTTCTGCTGCTTGCTTGGAATAAAATTTCTTGTATTTTATATTAAAATGATAGGCAAGCAATTCTGTTAAAAGCACTGGCACTGAACGTTTCGCTTCATGCAGTCTATTTTGCAATTTTTTTAAAATGATGTCAATCCCGAAAATCCCGGGATTAGGAAAACTTAATCCCGAAAATTTTGGGACTGAAAAGTGGTCGGGATCCCG